TTACGTCACGTAATCACTAAATAATATTACTTTATACAGCAATCGATTTATTTTTTGTAGTGTTACCGCATAGTGTAAGTGACCGTATTATACAACTAGTATGTGTGTTATTTGTCGTTTCCTTGATGTTAATCGATGATAATCGATGATAATCATTTTATGAGTGCAAACCTTTCTTGCCATGCGGAAGGAAAGTATTTGTACTTTATTTATTGTAATGTGTCGGAATGTTCGGGTTTTCCTTGTATTCCGCAGCGCTTCGTCCGATCGTGGGGCGCAATGACGCTAGACGCGTTTCTCTACATTTTATTATTATATTTTTGACATTTATATAGTTTATTATGGTATACAGTTAATTTGGATATGCAAAGTTTATAGATTTCTTACGTCATAATAAAAAACGTTTTGGTTTTTATATTTTGTATTTCTCATATATACAAGCGACGCAACACCGATCACACTATAAATAACAACTTATCATTAGTACATACACATGTAGCAACAACAAAACATAAGAATCAGACTATTTGGGCATTATGTTTGGAACGGTTTGGCTTATCAAACACTAATACAAAGAGTTTTATAGTTATTTCTGAAGATCACAGATACAAAAACGGTAATTATGTACATGTTTACATAATGTTCGTCAGAGATTTATACATTTTCATTTAAATTAATAATGTGACACAGATGCTTGATTACCAGAACCATGATTTTCTAAATAGTTTTTAATAGCTTGATCGTAACTACTGGAATCGAATGCGTTAACATGTTCGTGGTTGGCGGGGTGTTCGTAGAGGCCGCCCGCGAACTCTTCGTTGGAGCTTTGCTGCGAGTGCTCGTCGCCGGCTGCTTGTGATCCGCTTCCGTAACCTCCGTCACCGTGATATACATTTTCAGAGTCAGGACCGTACCCATCAGATGCATGTTCTTGTACTTGGTAAGCGTTTCCACCGAATTGACCGTGGCCCTGGTAAGGACTGTCCAATGCTTCGTGGCCGAGTTTGTCCTTTGAAGTAATCACATGAGGCACCTTGACGATCTGCGGGACTGGCACAGGATACGGTTTTGACACGTGCACTGGATAAGGTACTTTTTCCAATACTTTCACGGGATAGGGTACGGGAATTTTAACAGCGATGGTCTTTGTAATTTTTACAACTCTAACAGGAGTTTCCGGTATCTCCACATGCTGACCCAGATCCTGAAGTTCTGTGTCGTAGTTCTCCACGGGGATTATGTGCTTGTGTTCAGAGGCGAAAGCTATGCATGTGCAACATAGTAGAGTAATACATTTCTGAAACAAAGATGTAATAATAAGCATGTTTAACATTTGGTAAAACCTCAGGATTAGATTTTACTTAAAATATTCCATTACGTTTTTTTCATGAAGTACTGAATGTTGTTAATTCCAGAATAATTGTCATCGGATGTTTTGTTATTGCAGCTACTACTGAAGCATGTTATATAACTTATTGTGTAATCAGGAAGTTGTCGTTTCCGATACTCAGACTTCAAAATACATCTTATGTCGCTATTATTAAAAAACAAAATAACTTACCAGTAACTTCATAGCGGAGAAATGAAGTGTGCGTTCGAAGTGCGAGTAAAAACTATCGAGCAACAAGTGCACAGAGAGGCTTTTATATGGCGCGTTCCCGCGGCAGCGAGAGATTGCTTCTGCTCGAGCCAAACAATTACTTTCTTACATCGCGTCCACTCGCCCCTCGGCGACGTCGAGAGGGCGACGGGCCGCGGCCGGCGCACACGTCACCACCTTCACTGATCTGAATTACTTAACTTATAGTGCTGAATCATTATCGAATCCGTTAAGTAATTTAAAAATGTAAACTATAAAAATATTTGTTTTGAAGTTCAAACAACCAATTGTACCTCACTAATGCTGTGTGCTGCCTGGCAGACACATAGTTTTCACTGAAAACAACTTAAGCACTATGTAATTATTTTCTCATTGAAAAACTTTTGCAATAAGTAGACTTGACTGGTCTTGGGATAGAATCTTTACCTTTATGAATATTAAAACTTTCTTTTAAACTTACGGTTTGGGTTTAGGTCGTATATTGTAAATGTTATAGTAATACCCATCAATTTGCAAATGAATTTATTTTAAATATTTTAAAACATCAAGTTGAGTGAGTGATCCCGAACAAAACAACATAAGACATCAAGATGAAGCGGTAGTTTATTCATTATACCAAATGGTTTTTTGAAAGTTTCATCAATTACAATAGGCGATAGCATTTTAATTTTCCTTGCTTTAGAAGTAATGCAATTTGTCTTGAAGACATTTTGATACATTGTTTTTTTAATGTTACGGAATTAGCGTAGCCTATATCGTCTTTTATAAAAAAGACTTCTTACCAACTATTTCGTTCTCATGTTTTTTGCTGCATTTTTTGCTAACGTACAACTAGTTTGTCGCACTAACTTTGTGAAGTTTACTTCGTATAAAAGATTTTATAAAGTTGATTTTCAAATCAGTATGTGAACAAAAGAGTCTATTACTAAAGTTAAGCTACACCTAAAATTGTGTTCTACGCGTCTCGTAAGATGTTCCGAGCCAAAATTACCTCTATACCAAGTAGGTATGTATTTGAATTTGTCTCCAACTATGCATTAAAGTCTTAAGTTCAAGAGATTATGGACATTAACCGAATACTTGCTTAGTAATTACTTCTGAAGGCCAACATCTATACAAGTAATAAATTTACAGAGTGTAATATCGTGAAAAATCATATTCAGTGGTTATAACGAAAAATCATTTTTTAAAATGTTTATCCTTCCGTCTGGCTGATTATCCGTGCTTGTTCTGGGTAATCTCCAAAGGCTCAACTGAAATAGCTGATCTATGTGGCAGTATTATAGGGTTACTCTTTTTTTTTATGACGCTACGCTGAAGAAGTCGCGGGCACCAGTAGTATATGTAATTAAAAACAATAACATAATGTTACAGTTAATATATTATTCAATGATGTTTATACATTTTTAAATATTTGGTGTAAAGTTTAAACTCTCATTCTGTCAGAAAGAACCCTGACAATAGAGCCAGATCCACCAACATTAAATGCCTTCTCATGCCACAGTAGCAGATGCCCACTGGAACCTTCAGAAGGGTATTCAAAACCTCTGTAGATGTATTTCATCAAGATGTCTATATCATCTCGAGAGAGATTTCCAACTACTTCTTCTATTTGTGCTGATTTGATTGCAAGTAATACTTTTAAAGTAATAGCAAGTGCATTATCCTGTGAAAACAAAGAGTAATTAGTAAAACTTAAAAATTCAAGAATTCCTAGACCATTTATATTGCCTGATAGTTTGGAAACACAGAGGTGAGTTTGTTTGAGGAGGCAATATTTATAAAATTATTTACTTGAATATGTGTAACTAAAAAGTGTATATTAAAAAATCATAAAATGACTGAATTACTTACTTTGACTTGCTGGTTTGTTGAACCAACTGGTGCATTACCCAGCACCAGCTTAAGTGCTTCTATATATCTTCCTGTATTAATGTGTTAAGATCATTATTAACAGATTCACACTTTATGAAAGAGACAATTTTCCAATTTATTGGCTAACATGTTATTAAGAATAAAAATTGTACATAATAATGAACATGGACACCAGTCTCCATATTTTAAGTATAATTTTTTTTTAAATAAAATAATACAATTTTAATAATGTTGAAGCAATTACTAAGACTCCAGCAAAATTATTGCTACATACATTATATTTATAGTAATAAAAAAATTGTAGAGGGAACAGAATAAGTTTCAGGAAAAGATTTAAACATGCTTATTACCGACGCCCTTATGAGATAATTCTCAGTTGTCATTTAACGAAATCGAACAGAAGAAATATATGATATTCATATACTGATTAAGGTTCTAAATGTATAACATTAATAACTATTAAAAGGATATTGATTAAGCAATGCACAAATTTCTCCTTCGTCAGGGCCCGTAGGACCGGATGATTCAGCTTCATCTTCTTTGAAATTATCTTCATTGTACTGGTCGATGTCTATTTTACGAAACGCCGAACTAGAAGTATTTTTAGCCATTGTTTTCTCCTGTTAGATATACTTGTTTCAAAGATTTTTTTCTTATGAAAGAATTTAAAATAGTACAAAAAGAAATCTAAACTTTGTTATTCTCTATACCAATTTGTCAATGTCACAGTGACAATGACATGAAAGAGTATATAATAGCAAAGATAATATATGGTAACTGTTGAGGTGTCTATGATTCTTTAAACAAAATTTAATAAGAATCGGAGATAGGTATTCTCGTCCCGAAAAAGTTGCAACATGTTATTTTTTCAGACTCTCAGTAACTTACAAACTTAATACCGTTGTAACTTAAATTGGTAATTTTTTAATATACTCTGCCAATAATGTTTGAATGGAATTGAACTCTCCTCTCTGTTCTCTGTGGTCAGGTAGAGTTTGACATTTAGGTCATTGAAATTGAATTGATTTTACATTTAAAACCTGAAAATATAGTGTATTTTGTTTGTGTTGTTGATATTTGAATGTTTCTATAAAACTCTAAATCTTTACCACTCTTTGAGTTACCCTTTTTAAGGCACAAGATTACTACAAAATTTGGCCACAATGACAATGGGCGATGAATTACCTGTTACTTCCTTAGTTTTGCCAGTACTCATACGTCCTGTTTTAACTCAGGTGAGACTTATTTTAATATCTTGTGGGTAGGTGTTCTATATGCCTAGAATCATGAATCAAACATATACAATGTACGATTATTTCATTATGGTGTCGCAATTTCTCATACGTATCATGTCTTGCATTACTTTTGTTTTCATAATATTTGGAGGTCATTATAATCGTATCAGTAACGATAATTACTCTAAAATTACCACTAATAAATGCAAAAAATTTGCTAACTGAAGACATACTGTGGCTTAATATCTTTTTAGAATAGACTTTATATGGATTTGCGAATATAGGAAAGGTCTGACTATAGTATTTAATTTCTTGGCTTGCTGTAATTGCTCCTGGATAACATATACCAAAGAGGTTGCTAAGATTCCACATTGAGCTGGCTTGTGTTGTCAGTCCTACACTCACGGAAAATCTATTACAGATATGTTGTGTTGCAAAATGAGTTGGGGAAAGCATAATTACATGACTATATTACTAACTAGCCAAGTAAATTAAATAGTAAAATGTTAATGTATATTTTTTTATTTGTAGTTGGAAAAATATGACCTGGGCGCATCTCAAACATTACGAGCTGCTCTTACAAAAGCGGAAGCAGCTATACCAGGACTCAATTATGATTTAGTGGCTGGTATAATGAGGCGGGCTGATATACCGGTTAACATGAATGAAAGCTTGCTAAGGCTGCAAGGAACACTTACTGAAAATGAATGTAAGACAAGTTTACATATTTCCCAACTTATATGTTAGTGTTGGAACTTAAGATATGTTAATAAGTTTACTGGTCTTGTGTATTGCCTATAGGTGCTGATTTGAGATTGAACAGGTCAGAGGAAGCTTTTCGGGAGTTGAATAAAAAATCAGCTGCTCTAAAGAAAATTTTGAGTCGAATTCCAGATGAAATTACTGACCGAAAAACTTTTCTGGAAACAATAAAGTGAGCTTCAAATCATATAAACTTGAATATATAATGTGATCATGATTTTTCAAAGTGAACAATTATTATATATGTCTGTTTGATTAATTATGTACATCTGATTTTTTCTTATTAATTTTTTTCTTACAGAGAAATAGCCTCTGCTATTAAAAAGTTATTAGATGCGGTGAATGAAGTGTCAACATACACACCGGGCCCGGGGAAACAGGCACTTGAACAGAGGAAAAGGGAATTTGTCAAATATTCAAAGAGATTTTCTAACACTTTAAAGGAATATTTCAAGGAGGGACAGTTAGTAAAACATTTAGATTTTTATTATTTTTGTAACAATGGTGCTTTTCCAATATTTGTATACATGTTGAATAAATTTATGTTGTAATAACCAAATAATCATTTTTTTTAATTTGTGGAAATTATGTTGATAGACAATAAATCTATGACTATGTACTAATTCTGTGCTTTTTTCCAGAGCAAATGCTGTGTTTGTGAGTGCACTCTATCTTATACATCAAACCAACCAAATCTTGTATACTGTAAAAAATAAATCAGAGTAAAAAGCTGAACATTTAGGTGTTCATAAAGAGGTTATTAAAAAATTAAAACAAACATATTATTGAATGTGTTAATATTATTTGTAACTTGTTTTTGGTTTTACAATTGTCTAACTTTTGAGAAAGGATAAGATACCAAATTTGTAATATAAAAGTATTATTGTTATATTAAATTCTACTAATAAAATATATCTGAATTATTTAATGGGACCTGATAACCAAAATAATTAAGTACTAATTTAAATATTACATTTGTGTAATATCCACAGTAATGTCAGTTCACATTAAGTTACATAGTAAATGAATATAGGCAAATTCAATGAAAATGAAAAATTATATTAACATCTGTCACTGGCTATCAATTTCATTTCTTGTCTATGTCATATTTTGAAATGTTTTATTGTTGAAATTAACGATATAAACATGTCTGTTTTTAATAGTCTGTGGTTACACTTTATCAAAGATAAAAGATGGGTGATCATATCTCATTACCATTGAATTTGACTATAGATTTTTAAATTCGGGTTTTAAATTCACTTGACTTGTCCATAATAATATTATTTCAATTTATTTTTAGTCTAAAGAATTTATTGCTTTGTTGAAATGTACTAAGATTTTTCAATTAATTAATTAATTAACCTTTACTTAGTTTATTAGTCGTTTTTCTTTAAATCTTAAACATTAGTAGATTTAGTTCTATTTTAAACTTAATTTGTTTCGATTATTGCAATATATTTCGTTTATATGTTTTAAAAAAGTAAAAAAGTTTAAAGTATTGTAGTGATTTATTTGAGTGTAGTAGTGACTACCACATGAACATGTCATACTCCCAATCCAGAGATAAAACAATAAAAATTATGTGATTGTATCAACATATATAATTGCTTTTTTATTTTTTTTACCCGAAGGTTGTTCCGCCTCTTCTAACAGACGATTTATATCACAAATCATAGTCTTTAGTTATGAAAGAAAAAAGACAATATGAGTATTTAGTACATTGAAGATGAAAACCGAATTTTTAAACTAAATAAAACAAAATTAATTTCTAAACAAGAATTTATAAAATCGGATTTTTCTTATGATACGGAAACAACTGTTCACTTGTTTCTATACATGAAGGCCGTACTAGCGTTGTGGTGAGGCAGTGCCCAACACGAGTAATGACCAATGACATCATCATCAACATCTCCCCTGCCTTATCCTACTTACTTGACCAATGACATATTTTATATTTATCTGGATAAACTATAAGAAAATTGTCATTTCAGCCCCTATACTACAGAGTATTCTATTGTTAAGATTAGAGTTATTTTAAGTGTGTTATAGAAGTCTTGTAGTATTTTAACAGATTAGAGTCTTCGTGGGAAAAAAAGGTGATTGAACATTATAGCCTAGTCTGTTTGTTGAGAGTTTCCTGTGAAAAGATTCATCAAAAGTGATATCGTGAGCGCGTTGACGTGGGTCACGGGGCCTGGCTTGCGATTCGTCTCGTCGTGCTACGCGGACAATGGAGGGTCGTGCCTCTCGGCCTCACCGCGGCTGCCGGCCGCCTGCGCCGCGCCGCTCCGGCCCTGCCCGTGACACTTGACACGGGAACTTGCGCACCACGACCTCACATTTTTACACGTACAAGTTTTTTATTGTAAGTTCTAGCATAACTAATCGAGAAAAAATCGAAATAAATTGTCAGTAAAGTCTACGTATTTACAGATTTAAAGCCCAAATATTATATTAATACATCAGTTTAAAACTTTCAACTCGTACAATGAATACGATTTCTTTCCGGAACAAATAAGAACGTTCAGCTTATGACACCAAATTTTAACAATGAGTCAATCATACGAGTCGTTAAAATATTCATAGCTTTAAAGCGGAGGCGTAATCGATTTCGAGTTGGACGCATCGGTCCTCGCAGACAACGAGAACGCGGCGCGGCGCCTTGGCTGCTGATGAAAGCGGCTGATACCTTACCTTAGTACGGCACGCACGATGGACTAACATATACTGGCGACCCTTTAGCCATATCCACTTAATATACGTGTCCTCATGAAAACTTCATGATCCACTTAATATCGATTTTGTTGTGCTATTTTCGAGTCACACACTTCAAATATTTGTATTATGGTTACGTTATATCTATCAAGAAGCGCCTGCAAGAAAAATATTGCAAAATTTTAGAAAGATAATATTACACTTATTTCATGTAATAAAAAATAATCCTAAACCAAAAAAAGAAACTAGCTTCCTTAAATCGATTATGTTTAAAAGAAAAATTAACATAAATAGGCAACATTTCTTTCAACTTTCTATGTATGTCCAATATATTATGACTGCCTATACCCCATGCAATAACGGTTTAGACGATTTTGATGTGTGGGACGGAAGTCACATCATATCATTAGGTTTTTTAATACCATGTTGAGAACGTGCAAGAAAATGTATACAATAAAGACAATCTTTTTGTGTCAAGATCATTGTAAATAACCTGTAAGACAAAGTGAGCACACTTAAATTCGAATTACTTCAATAGATAAATGTCTGCTTTATATTTCTGCAACAAATCAGATTGTTTTATTCAAGTGTAGTTTTATGCTCAGATTTGACGATGGATCGTTTCTCAGTGGCACCATTTGTAACCATTCGGTGATTACCATAGCAGACTGTAGAAAAAGCTAGTTGTGGATGCGACACATTTTGAATGTATGTGTCCGAGGAGCATCCCGTAATTGCTGCACATCAATCTCGCTCCCGGTTGCAAAAACAAAGCATTTGTTACTGAACACATTATTATTCGATAACTGAAACTGCTGCTGTGATTTATACGGCCTATTCAAATTGTTACATTATACAGATCGACATGCATGAAAGTTCAATGGTGTTTCGCTTAAATCACCAACATCGTACACATTATACTTGCGGTTGATTTTATACTGACGAAAATATAACATTGTTAGCGAGATACATTTCTTTATAAAGTATTGGATTTATGATTTAATGGAAGTGTTAAATTAATAATAATCGCGAATGATGGAACAGTAAAGCTTTTTTGCTTTTGTGATACCCTAATGTCGTAACAATTAATGGAAAGTAATGTATTATATTCAATTAAATAAAAACGCTTGTATGAAAAGTGGTTCAAAAGTAATTCCGATATTTTTATTTTGCCAGATGTAGGATTTACGAAGCGACTGCGCATGTGTAATTCAGTGCCTACGTATCCTGTTACAGACGAAAATGTAGGAAAATATTGATAGACATCGTTAGCAGTCACATATATTTCCCTAAATGTTTTCGAAGTTGAAAAATTTCCATGTTTCAGCAGACAGATGTGTGGATGAAAAGTTTGACGATATAGCAACTGCGTCTAATGCGATGCGTAATAAAATATTAATGGAGCATCTGCTGCGGCGTGGGCGAGGGGCGCGCGGCGCGGAGCGCGGGCGGGACGGAGGGCGCGGGCGCATATGCAATGGCGTCTCGGCGTCCGTCATCGAGCAAATCTATGCTAATTCCACTCAAGCTGCATAATGCGCTGTTTTGACGGGTCAAGTGTCTGTTTGCTGTATCGAAATTTATTTACTCGCTGAACAAAGGTGATCATTCAAGTCAGAAGATTTTCTTGTAATATATGATATAGGTTTTTTCGAGGACCACAAATATTAAACGATTTTTGACTGCAATATTTTACAGGGAAAACATTTATGAAGTAGGATAGGATTTAGGATTAACATATAAGTTTAAATTATGTCTTGAATTTTACTTGAAATAAATGAAAAAGACTTACTCGATTTAAGATGTTCAGGTAAAGTGTAGTACTATATGTGATTCATACTATGTAATGTAATATATAAGATTCATACGTCTCGAAGCTTCCAAGATTATCGAACAAACAAACAATGGATAAGATCGAGTGGCTGCAAATTCATTGTGCAATACATTGAGTGGCTGCATAAACCCGGAATCAATTTCCCACAACGCACAGAAGGGTCACTCGTGAGACAATATTGTGAGTGACAGCGGCGGGTGGCGGGTGGCGGCTGGCTGTGTTGGGGCCGGCATCTGCTGGCTGTCGTGGGAGTGCCGCGCCGACAACAATAACACATCGACACCGCTCGGCCGGCAGGTCCCTCACACCCCTCGGGAAGCTGTGGGAACGGAACGGTACTATTAATAATATCAATTGCAAAATCCCCATCTGAAAGCAAACAATACGCTGCGGACGCTTCTGTCCAAAACCGGAACTTGACGCGATATCGTGTTATTTTATTTTACCGGTTGTTTTTGATGTTGCACAAAATGTTACATTTACTTACACGACTTAAACTAATTAATTTCCTAACTGTTGTCTGGAGAAATATTTGCCTTTCAGCAGAAACATTTCAAATCGTCAATACATTTCAATACAAATTATGAAGTAGCTAACTTTAAATAAAAAATCCATAAATTTATTAAAACCATATTTACGCAGAAGTACGCGCAATACTAGTCCAGTACATCAGTGTAATAGCTTTAAGCACGAATGCATAACAAAATGGTAATGATATTCCATTGTAATTGGTTTGGTTGTATTTAACAAAGATGACGTAACACGGGGATTATTCATGGTGCCTCTGTGTTTGTGAGTGTTGTGTGCGGTATTGCGGGGTGGCCATATGACGCCGCACCGGTGACCGCTCTGCGTGACCATCTATTGAAATTGTTTATTAACAAATTTGTTTCCTATTTTATATTACTTATTACTAATTAAAATGTTCGTCACACGATGACTAATATATTTTGTAAACGCTGTTATTTACGAAATGCAACATGTACAGACAGTGACATAAAAAATAATTCAAGTCCAAAACTCATCAGATTTAGATAGCATACCATTTTAAGATATGAATATTAATGAGGCGTAAGAGGTGTGATGGAACCGCGCCAAATTGAAATCCGTATTATCTAAGTAACAGGCATTAGTTATGCTTTTGTTTACTATAACAGTAAGTTAGTACCTGAATACTTCTTGTCTCTTATATCAACATCTGTAGACTTATTATCGAATGAATTAAATACTAAA